CCCCCCCAGGCACCCAGGTGCTCCCGCCGCTCTTTTCCCTGGGATACCACCAGAGCCGCTGGAATTACCAGGACGAGGGGGACGTGGAGGCCGTGGAGAGGGGATTCGAGGAGCACGAGCTGCCCATGGACGTGCTGTGGTTGGACATCGAGCACACGGACGGCAAACGCTACTTCACCTGGGATCCCACCAAATTCCCACGGCCCAGGGAGCTCCTGGAGCGCCTGGGAGCTCGGAAACGGAGGGTGGGAATGGGATTGGGGTTGGGAATGGGATTGGGGTTGGGAATGGGATCAGGGGAACTGGAGCAGGAATGGGATGGAGATCAGGATCAAGACTGGGAATGGGGTTGGAGTGGAAATGGGATGGAGATCAGGATTGGGATTGGAATGGGGTGGAGATCAGGATTGGGATCGAGATTGGGAATGGGATGGAGACCAGGATCGGGATTGGAACGGGAATGGGATGGAGACCAGGATTGGGATCAGGAGTGGGATTGGAACAGCGATGGGATGGAGATCAGGATCAGGATTGGGGTTGGAATGGAAATGGGATGGAGAGCAGGATTGGGATTGGGGTTGGAATAGAAATGGGATGGAGACCAGGATCAGGATTGGGGTTGGAATGGGATGGAGACCAGGACCGAGATCAGGAGCTGGGCTTTGGGCCCCCCCAGGAAGGGGGTTCCAGGGGCTGTTCCAAGGGAAGCTGCTCCAGGGGCTGCTCCATCCCTTTCTCCGCCCGGGCCAGGGGCTGGGGGTCAGGACTGGGATCTGTGCCCCCCCTGATGCCCCCCTGATGCCCCCCCCAGATGGTGACCATCGTGGACCCCCACATCAAGGTGGACGGGGGGTACCGGGTCCACGCCGAGCTCCGCGCCCGCGGCCTCTTCGTCAAGAACAAGGACGGGCACGACTACGAGGGCTGGTGCTGGCCCGGTCAGTGGGGCTGGGGGGGGCATTGGGGGGGTTCTGGGGGGGTCTGGGGGGGTTTGGGGGCTCAGGATGGGTTTGGGGGG